CAATCTATTTTCAGTTGTCTCATGATTTTTTTCTTTCCCTTTTTGGTATTTTTAAAATTTTAATTAAAATGCAATTATATCATTTTTCCCATTCCCTTTCCTCCCTCTAACTCCTCCTCAGCCTCCTTCCCTCTCAAATTCATGGCCTCCTTTTCTTCATTATTGTTACATATTCACATACTTATCTATCTATTATGCATGAAGACATAAACATATATGTATTGATTTCATGGCTAACCATTTGGGTAACAACTTAGGGGGCTCATGCCTGGGAAAGGCCAACTTTCCCTCTCTCAGCAGTCATTAGTTCCTAAAGTTCTTTGTCTGGCACAGGGAAGATACACCCATGAGTGGTAAAAAAATACTTATTCAAACTAACATCCAAATAAGATGCATGTGTTGTATTTGTTTGATACATTTGTGTCTCTTTTTATCCTGTAAGGTTTCTCTTCCCCCTGTTTTTCTTTCCTTATATTTTAATTATTGGAAGATCCAGATCATGTGCCCTGCAGGCTTTTGTACATTCTAGTATCTTTATCCCATGGTTTAACTGGTCCCTTGGCCAGCTGTTGACTTCTGCACTTCCTGTTATATTTACTCTCACTTTTAAATTGTTCTCTGTCCTTTTGGCTATCCTCCTGTGTATAACATTCCACGTGCCCTGACTGAAAACAAAACCAACCTGTAGCAAAGGTTTGCTGGGAGGGGGAGTTGTCTCTATTTTAAAGGAGTATAAACTTTCATCTGTGAGATCCCACCTCTCTGTGGTCTAACCAATCACTTATTCACAGATGACTCAGCCATTTCCCAGAAATATCTCTTGGAGCACCAGCAGACATGAACACACACAAAAGCTTTTATTGGCCTTGCCTTTCGTGGCCCGTATCCCAGTACCCTACCACAGTGCTTCTAATTTCTTTTTGTTTACCAGACAATGCCTGGTGCCCTGGGATTGCTGATATGCCTGTCTGTTCCTATTCAATGCAGGACTAACTGTTTTCCTTGGAGAATAACTTCTGTCTGATTAGACACACTGAATGGCTGACTTATTTCCAGACTAACGAATGGGCTTTCCCCTGGGAGAAGGTGAGCCTAACCCTGGGCATCATTTGTTATACTTGCAGCTGGGAACATGTTCTAAAGCAAAGCCCATGGGAAAGAGGGTATCATGGCATATTCAGAACAGGGGGTTGTGGCTTAAGAATCAGATAAGCCATCCTGAGTTGGCCTCACTGTTACTTTGTGTAAATACTGGAAGATGCCAAGATGCTGCCCCTTAGGGTTATAGTAGCATTGCCTTATGCTCTCTTACCTGAACTCAAAATTTTGACATTTCTAATACGTTCAATATCTTTCCATACCCTGGTATATAAAGAATACATACATGCATGTGCATATATATGCATATATATTCTTAGCTAACTACATTCTTAGATTGACTTTGCTATAAATTTCTCAGCTGCCTATATAACTTTAAATCTATGCTATCTTTATGAAGAGTACAGTTATTTCTATTGCATTGAGTTTCAGTTTATGACACATGCATTTGCCAGCAGAAAGGGTTTTGAGAAATGAAAACGCTGACTTGCATTATCGGAGAAAGTCAATTTGTGAAGGGGAGTGTTGACAGACTCGGACGCAGAAACTGATGAACGTGGTGGCATGCACTGTCCAGGCAGGGGTTTAGGAAGTTCCCACTTGGGCAGAACCCTGGGAAAGATGAGATTTGCTATTCAACAGGAAGCACTGTGTTCTAGCGCCTTTGGGTTGGAAGGGAATGGAGAGAAGGCAAGTCTGGAGGAGAGGCGTAGATTCTGCTTATTTCCTTATTTCCGTGGTCTTGGCAGCTTACAAAATGAATCTCTCATCTAACTGCACATCAGCCTGGTGTGGTGTTGTATTGTGATCGTTCTTAACAGAAACAAATGGGGTAAAGAGAGACTAGGAGTCTTGTTCCCAATCGAGTAGCCAGTAAGTACTGTGATGGGATCGGAGAGGAGGTGTTTGGGTGTCATCTGCAAGTCTGTCCTATCCACACACACACCCATCTCCACTTCGTCTGTGTGTCTCACAGCGCAGGCCACAATGTGCACTTCTGCTGAGCTCTGAGCCACCTTCTCTGGACATTCAAGGGCATACATGGCCGTTCCTCTGTTCTTCTCTGGAACGTAGTACATGGTGGCTATCCAGTGACTACAGGACATCCTTGGGCAAATTGCTTCTCCTTCCTGGCTGGGCTCCATTTCCTCAGTTCTTAAGATTCCTTTTACTTCTTGATGCTCTAATTCTTTTAGAAACTTCAGTAATGGAGAGAAAGCACAGGTATCCGTCTTAAGCACTGTGGAGTTGAGCACTACACTCACCAGATTCTTACGGCCTTGAAACGTTAGACTTATTGTAACTCTCTAGTAAGACTTCTAAAACACAGAGAGGCTTAAAGGCTTCCCTGTACTCCAGGCTGTCCATCCTGAGTCACAGCAATGGCTCCCTAGCTGGTCTTCTTGCCCCCATCTTATCGCCACTGTCTCCATGGCCCAAACAACCTTTGGAGCGACCTTGTTAAACATTTTTATCAGATCAAGTCCTGCCTTGGTGACATCCCCTTCCACCTCACTGACTAAAATTCAGACTCGCCACTTCTTTTTTTCCTTCACATCCTGCTTGCCCAAATTACCCACATTCTAAAAAACCTAGAACCTGTGTATGTGGCAAAGAAAAAAAAAAAAAAGACTGTTTGCCGATCTGATTAAGAAGCCTAGGTAGGGAGAGTCCCCTGTAACATGGGAGTGTGGTGGCAGTGTGGGGGGTGGGAGGGTAATAATGTAGTCACAGAGGTTCTTAGAAGAATAGGAAGAGGGTGAGTCACAGAAATCACCCTGGCGGTTTTGATGATGGAAGATCAGGCTGAAGCTAAAAAGTCCAGGATCCTCTGGAAGCTAGCAAAAGCAAGGGAACATGCTCTGTCTAGGGCCTCTGTGGAGGTAGGGTGGCCATGTCACCTTGAGTTCCCTTCAGCGAATCCATTTTGGACTTCTGCTTTCCAAACCACAAGCTGTCACTGTGTATCGTAGTAAGCCACTGAAGCCTCTGATAATTTGCTGATTTGTTACTGCAGCATTTGAATCTAATCCCTCTCACTGACCTTCCATGCCTCAGACATAGGATTCCACTCTTGCTGGTGTGAGACCCCTGCATTTACTGCTCTCTTTGCTGGAGTGGCCTGCCACATATTTTTATGTTTTTGCTCTTCCTGAGGTGATGCCTAACTGTTGATCATGGACATACATGTTATAAATTTTGCAGAATGTAATACCAGAAGGAACAAAGCACACACCTAGACTGAGGTCAGTCTTCTCCTAAAAGCTTGTGACATGGGTCCTATTACTAAGCACTTCTCCCTCTGTAGGGCATTGCTTATGGAACCTTGACAAATTTGGAATTGACTGGTAATATTCAGAGAAATGATATATCTTCTTCTTCTCAATTTGGTATTTGTTGGTTGCCATAGAAGATGCCCAAGAATGGAGGCAAATGGATTCATTTCAAAGATCTCTGTTGACAGCAGCACCTGTAACACCCATACCGTGTATAGGACCCCTTTTCTGCCTATGCAGTAAATTCAATATTTACAGCCTTATTGCAATGGGAAAACTCAAATATCCATTCAGCTCCTTCCCAAGAGGCCAAATACAAGGCAAGTTCCAGTGATTCTTTGCAAAGAGACAGCTCTTTCCTCCGCCTGTGTGAGTGCCAGTAGTGTAGATGCTATACATACGCTCAGGGCAACAAGAATGTCCTGAAACATGTCTTCTAGAGTTTCCATAGAAAACATGAAACTTGGGCTTTAGAGAGTTCAATGAATCGCCGTAGAGCATCGAGGGAGCTAGGACTGTTGAGAGGTGTTGTTTGCTTCTGAGAGTGGAGGCTTCAAAAGCTTTTTGCAAACCCAGCCCCTTGGGTGGCTAGTCTAAGTGCCAGATAACCGTCTCCAGCAATCAGGCTCATGTCAGGGGAAGGATTGTTGCCTCTTTCGGGGTCCCCCTTCCATAACCAAATGCTTATGTCCCTTTGGATTATGTGTCTATCCACTAACCACCTGCTCAGGCCAAGGAGTTGGCCAAGACTGAGTCTCATAACTATCTCCAAATTTAGGGTTAGAATCAATCTAGCCTAACATTGCTTCAAGGGCAACTGTAGAGGTCACCAGCAAGGGGAACAGGTACTGAGTAGTCCAAAGAAATCCTTGTCTTCTGCCCACTCTTGTTGCTTAAGGTGGAGTTTCAGCCTCAGATTTTAAATCAGGACGATAGTTTTGAAGATTTCGGGGAGGAGAGATCCCTAAAAAAGGCCATCTTACCACCAGCCCACTCCACTCGAAGTAAGAGCCATCTGGTCTGGGTTTGTCTGTTGTATCCATGGTGCCTGCAGTTCTAGCTCCAATCCCTTTGCTTATGAAGTCAGCTAGCAGCCTTAAAAGCCAGAGTCTTAAAAGGCCCAGATTATAAACAGCTCATGAGGCTTTAGAAATGCAAGCAGCAGTTCTCAAGACGTTGGCCTCTCAAGACCTACAGCAGAATTGGTGGCCTGTCCTGTTTTATTTATTTTGCTTTGCGGTTCAACATGGTTGTAAAAAGAAAAGAGTTGATCGCCAACAATTAACCTTCTACTAAGTAAATGATATAGCAAAACCTTCTTTACAGATAAACTTTAAATAGTCATTTTTTATTTTTTTAAGGCAATGAATGTTTGAATATTTTAGAATGTATTTGTGTGGTTGACTTCCTATATTGTGTCTATAGGAAAATATGAAAATTAATTTAAAGGCCTAAAATTGTGTGTGTGTGTTTGTGTGTGTGTGTTGGTGTGCACACTTGAAGGTCAGAGGACAGCCTGTGGCATCCTTTGGGTCTCAGGATATAAATCAGGTTGTCTGCCTTGGCAGCAAGCACCTTTACCCACAATAGACCTGCAGGGCTTTTTTTTGTTTCTTGTTTTGTTTTTGAAATGTGGAACACTTTGAGAATTTGTATGCCATCTTTGTGCAGGGGCTATGCTAATCTTCTCTGTATGTTACAATTTTTAATGTGTTTTAATATGCTGCTGAAGCAAGCACTAAAGTTTTTTGTTTGTTTCTTTGTTTATAAAATTGGTAACTGACAGTGTTAGAGTTTTCTGATGCATGTTGTCATCTTAGAACATAACAATTAGACTCCCTTTACCTTTCTCTAAGCTTTATGTGTTATGGTCTTTGCTTAATGTTTCATAAAATTTATGAACGAGCAGGTAAGACATTCTCAATAACATTGACACAACTCTACTTGGGTCTGGAAAAATCGTAATTTAAACGCAGTTCAGTCATATCTCCTTGGACTTGTCTGCTACCCATGTCTCCAGGTTCCTCTTTCTCTTCAGGAACTGCAGTGGGTCCTGTATCCTCCATCCCCCGTCCTTAGGTGACAGCATTATCCCTCTATGGCCTCTCTTTACTTGCATGTTTCTGGTGGGACTACCAACTGCAACCATGCTGCCTCTCGCAGAGGATTTTATCATGACCAAAGCTAGGAGAGTTGTTGCCATGTTTATTAGGACACAGTTATCTGGTTTAAAGTGGCCATGTGACCTAGAAACAGAGATGTCCACAGTGGAAAATAAACTTAATTAGTAAAGGGCAGTGATGCCTACAGAGACAAAAGGTTAAAGCAAAGACTTTAGCATTGTCCTGTAAAGAGAAGTGGAGGAGAAATGTGGCAATATTTGGAGAAAACAGTGTTAACAGGAGGAGTTTGTAAAATGACCTTTGTTCTCTAATGGAAGCAATTCCACGGAAAGAGAAAAATTTGAACATAAAGTGTAAGAAAGCATCTTGTGGGTGGTTCCAGGAGAAGAACCCAGGGTACAGAGAAGCTGTGTGTCGGGTGCAAAGGTAAGCAGCTTCTCTATCACCACAGACGGAGAAGCGGGGTCTGTGGGAAGAGCTGCAGCGTAGTGCATTTGCTTGTGTTGCTTGTGTTTTCCTTTCAGAAATGTGAGTCATCAATGAGTTGATGGGGCAGACTTAGTAGACTTCCTAGGGCAGCCATACTCTCAGAGATACAGATGGGATGGGGGAGGGGTGGGGGGAGCGGGAGGAGAGGAGGGAGGGGGAACCGGGATTGAAATGTAAAAAAATAAATAAATAAATTTTAAAAATGCAAAAAAAAAAAAAAGTTAAAGAAATACAAGTCATGGCCAGTGAAGTAAGAGGAGGGCCTTGGGGTTCTGAGAACAAGAGCCCAGGAGAATCAAAGAAGACCCTGACTGGGAACGCGCACAAAGACTGATTGGCAGCACTAGAGGATAGCATAGTATCTAGGCACAGCATAGTCATGGTTTTATTGAGACATTCAGACTCTTTAGGGCAGGAGACAAGGAGATGGCGGGCTGGGGCTAGTTCTAGATTTGAGGATGGATTTGGGAAGTAGTCTGAATGAGAATCCCCATAGGCTCACATATGTGAATGCTTGGTCCCCAGTTGGTGGAACTGTTTAGGAAGGTTTAGGAAGAGGTTTGTCCCCGGAAGCAGGCTTTGAGGGGTCAAAAACTCATACCATTCCCAGTTGGCTCTCTCTGCCTCGTTATTGCAGAGCAGATGTAAGCTCAGGTGTTCCAGGACCATGCCTGCCTGCCTGCTGCCATGCCCCCCTCCATTATGCTGAAGACCTTATAACCCTCTAGAACCCCGAACCCCCAATTAAACTCTTTCCTTTATAAATTGCTTTGGCGTTTTGCCATGGTGGTAGAAAAGCAGCTAAGACAGGCGAGGACAGTGCAATGGAAGCACTAGACACTGGAGAAAAGTAAACAACTTAGAAGGGATAACTGCGATGACGGACAATGGAATTGGGGGAGGCGTGAGCAAAGCTGAGAAAGGAACAGTGCAAAGCAGTCAGGTCAAAAGAACCAAGTGCTTAGAAAAATAGAATTTTTAGATCTGGCGCATGAGGGGGGGGGAAGAGCTGAAAATGTAGGAGTAGGAAGTCAGAATTTAAGATGATTGGCAGGCATGGCTATGTTCAGTGACAAGGGAGGAGACTATGGAGAGCAGTGGCTGAAGGGCCATGGTAGAAGAGACGCTCACTGGGGATGAAGAAACTGGTGAACGGAGAGGTCATAGGAGCGAATGAGCCATGCCTGTAGTATTAACCTTACCAGGAACAATGGCAAAACAGTTAAGGAGTACGTCTTCAGGACAGCGTGGAAGTGACAGAACAAACAAGACCAGCGGGGGTGTCTGGAGGGAAGCTGCTGGTTTAGATCATCAACACACCGGCTAAAGGACCACATGGTAGGGTTCATATCCCAATATGGCTCTATTGAGAGGTTGCAGAACCCTTAGAGGTGGCGCCTGCAGAAGCTCTCTAATTCCCTGGAGGCATGCCCTCAAAGGGAACAGGGACACGCCAGCCCTGCCCTCCGCATCTTTGACTTCCTGATCGTTTTGTGAATGAGGCTCTGTCAACTGCTAAGATGCTTTATCCGCAACCCCAAAAGCAACAGGGCCAACAGAGTATGGACTGAAACTTCCAAAAGTATGAGTCAAAACAACCCTGTTTTCTGAGGAAGACTGTCTCAGATATTTGCTGTAGTAACAGGAAGCTGACTAAGGGGGACAGCCTGGTGAGAGAAGCTTTGAGGCAACTGGTGGGAAAAGGCAAGGAGGACACAGTGGTTTGGAGGTGACAGCAAGGGACAGGGATGCCGTGTACGTCACCTGATGGCCTGGCAGAACATGACATGCGGGAGAAAACTGATCACTACTCTCTGTGGTTTTGACAAAAAGCAAGAAACTACCCAGAGAACATGTGGTGAGGGGAGATTTTTTTTCCTGATGTTGAGAGGGAGGGTCTGGCCAGAAAAGCCTGGACATTCTTGGGTCCCTGAAATAAATATATACAGGGTCATCTGGTGATTGCTCAGAGCAGGGAATATCAGTTCAGACAATTCTCGGAACCTGAGTTAGGCAAACCTGAGATAAAGAATGAACAGGAACTAAAATTTTTGGAGTCCAACTAAGTGAGGATCCATTCTTTCAGTCTACACGGACTCTGTCTCTCCTGGGGTCCTCGGGGCTTCCCTGAGTTGCAGCAGTTGTCTCCTGCTCCCTCTCACAGTTTGTGCATCTCTGGCCGGTTCGTCCTGCATCTCCTGGGTGCTCTTTGTAGATTGCCAATTGCAGTAGGAGCTTCCATTGCTCTAAACCCATGTTTGGCTTTCCAGGTACTTCAAGTCACAGCACTATGGTTAATAACATGGCTTCATGCTCAGGACTTTTGCTAAATAAGATCATTCCTGTTCTTGCTACATAGATGGGAAGAATGAAGTTTATTTAAAACACCTTTTATTGGCCAAGTGAATCACCAAGACAACCTTAAAAAAAGAATTTTTTTCAGAATTGATTAAAACACAGGCAAAATGGGCAAAGCTGAGATTGAAATCATAGTAAGAGATCTTTACCCATGCTTTTGAAGGCTAACTTCCTGTTCCAAATAAAACCAACAAGGAAACAGATCTTAGTTGCTTAACTTATCTCAGTAAAGAGTGACTGGGGGGGCGGGAGTTCAACAGTTAAGAGCACTGGCTGCTCTTCCAGGGGACTAAGGTTTGATTCCCAGCACCCACTCAACAGACCATATATATGTCTGTCCAGACCCAAGGAATCCCATGCCTTTTTCTGGCTTCCACGGTCATCAAACATGCCTGTGCTGACAGGCATACACGCAGGCAAAACACTCATACACATATAAATGAATGTAAAAATATTTCTAAGTATATAGGATAACCTAGTCTTGGGGTAAAGACAAGCTCAATTCTCAGCTGTTTGATGAATGTCCTGGCCGTGAGGAGCAGTGAGCAATTCATTTCATTTTCCATAGGGAAAGTTATTCTATGTACATGTATGTGTTATTCTATGTACAATGATTGCATTAATGATGACGTCAGCCAGATTCTAAGTACCTTGGAGAGACATTCCACCATCTTCAGTTTTTCGCAGAGAATAGATTGGCTGGCCAGTGAGCCCCATACTGGGTATCACTCTAAGAGGCTTCACATACCTTGAGGTCAGGACAGGGAGTGCTGGGGGGAGGGGCACTTAGCCCAGCCTGACCGTTCCCATTAATTAATCAGCAGTCGTTCAAATAAAAGTGACAGAAGTCAACAGCAGTGGAGGAGCACTTTGGCACTGGCAGATGGTTAGGAGAGCTGGACCAACCCAGATCTGAAAGGCACTAAGTAGAATGGTTAACCTCTCCTGGGTAACCCTCCTCTGCAAGTGGAAGCGTTAGTGACAGGGTTAGAGGGACTAAGTGAGTTTGTACAGAGAGCACCGAACCGTGCTCCAGACACTGCAGCCACTCCATGAATAAATAATGCCAGGATACGATGACGTAAAATGGGGACAATAGCTCCAAACAAGTTAAGGTTTTATACACATTTACTGTTAGCTAAAGAAAGTTATTTTATTCACAAACAAGACAAAAAAAAAAAAAAAAAACGTGATTTTTTTTCCTTTTTCCTTCTTTCCCTTTTAATTGCAGCTATGTGTCAGAACCAGGATTCTTGCCTGGAGTTTTCACTTTAAGAACTGTGCGGTGCCCCTTGAAAGACAAATGATACAAAAATAAATGAAATTGGAGATGCACAAGCTTGAAGATGATGCCTTCTAGATCAAATGGTGGCACATTCTAGAAAGAGTTTGCAGCGCCCCTGTTGCCAGAGTGGTGTATACTCATCTTTCATACCCAGAGAAACATCCATTATTTCCATTTATGATGATTCTTTCCCCACACTCACACACACCACACACATAGACACACACACACTCACTCACACACACACACACACACATACACACTCACACACACACTCACACACAGAGACACACACTCTCACACACACAGACACACATACAGAGACACACACTCACACACACACACACTCACACACACAGACACACACACACTCACACACACAGAGAGACACACACTCACACACACACACACACACACACACACTCCAGCTTTTTGCCCTCAGACATTCAGGGCTTTGGCTCTCTACTGTTGCTGGG